TTTGAAAAACGTTTTTAAACTGAAAAACCATTCCATTGGATAGAGCATCGTCGATAACCTATAGAAGCAGTTTTTTCAGACCTTCTACGGTTTCTCGAGAGAATCGTATTCGAAAGAAAGTAAAGACTCTCTCCAGTATTTTGAGTACGCGCAGCTTAGTGCAGATCTGAACTAACATATATTTTCCTGGACTGAGATATTGGTTTTCCCAAATCCCTCGATTTTTGAGGTAAACTGACCTTTTCCCACTCAAAAAACATTTTTTCCTGCATGATATATATATATATTCGGAATCACCGTGAAAAACTGCAAGGATGGTATATAATTCATCTGAATTCGGTCCTTCCGCTCTATAAATTCTATAAATTTCTATAAATTCCGCTCTATAAATTCTATAAATTTCTTAGATTTGGGATTCACACGAAGACTTTCGCTAAAAATTCAAAATTCAAGAGAGAAACCGTAGAAGGTCTGAAAAAACTGCTTCTATAGGTTATCGACGATGCTCTATCCAATGGAATGGTTTTCCAGTTTAAAAACGTTTTTCAAAGGATTTTCAACAAATCCGGTCTCTAGCAAACCCACTGAAAAACTTTGTCGAAACTCGAAAACTACTCCATTGGAAAGAGAATCGTCGAAAACGTATAGAAAGTGGTTCAGATAATTTAAGTCCACTTATAAAGTTAATGTCCGCCTGCTCTGGCGAAAAATGCCCACTGTGCGGCATGTCCAGCTAACGGTATCCTTTTTTCGCCCATTTTCAAAAAATTATTGCAATAAAGCTACAAACTAATTTAAAATTGCAACTAAACACATTTCTCTACGAAACGAAGTGTCTCGACTCTGAGTATTGATTCGTTATAAAATACAACTGTTGTACAAACAGCGCAAAGAATCGATCTGGGAGCTATATGAAAAACGTGTCTAAAAGAATGAAGACGAGCAGGCGAAAATTGAATAAGTATACCAGTTTGTAGAAAATTGTTTGCTTTACCAGATATGATAACTTCTTAAGTTCGAAACTATTCTAATTAATCTGTATTAATCAAAGAAAAACCAGAAAAACCGTGACGCTGTGACACCTTTGACTGTGTTTTGTCACAGCGTCAAATGGTACCACGTGCGGTTATGCCGCTGGTTTTCGATGGACTATCGTTCTTGCCGTCGGGCAATGTACAAAAATTGTGACATCCAGATACTCAGCAGTCTTGCCTATCTCATAGGTTAATTTTATAGGTGGATCTTTTTCGTTGTAAAATTTCAATCTCTCCTCAAGTTTTATTGGCCTCAACCCTGTAGTAATAAAAATGTCGTCTCTAAATCGCAGATATACCTGGTTCTCGGGTGTCTGCTGTGCTAAGAAGTCTATTTCCCATTCATACATATATGCGTCTGCCAATACCGGAGTTACAGCGCTGCCCATGGCACCTCCCTTTATTTGTTTGAAGATTTTTTCTCCATATGCAAAATATGAGTTGTCTAACACATGTCGGATCAACTTTGCGAAAGTATCAATTGATATATTAAGTTTGCTCAACTTTTGCATTACGGGCACCTTAGGAAAAATAAATCATGTTCTCTCGCGCAGCTAAAATATACATATTGTATATCAATGTAAAATTCTCCACAAGTTAGGCTAAGTCTCGTCTCTTTCCTAGGGGGGGGGGGGGGGCCCGCAAATTTGTGCCCGGGGGGGGGCCTGCCGGGCACGTTCAACCTGCGAAGGTTTTTGGTCAAACGTTTTTTAGTTTTTTGGGTTACCGGTGNCCCCCCCCACCCCCCCCCCCCCCCCCCCCCCCCCCCCCCCCCCCCCCCCCCCCCCCCCCCCCCCCCGCCCCCCCCCCCCACTCAAATATGTTCCCTCGTGAGATCCTTCACGTCAACTTCAAACTTCGAAGGTATTTGCTCAAAACTTTTTTACTATATTCGGATTCCCTATACTGTTCCGCATACAATCGGTCACTTTTTTAAAGTATAGAGCACAAGTGGAATCTGTTGCATGCACATCGTTTTTCCTGCAATAGAGAAAATGGAAGTTGCGAGAAAAAAATCTTTTATGACACAAAAGGTATTTTCATGAAATTCGGAGTCGACAGTAGTACTCAGGATAGTCAATTACATGTGACTAGACACTTTTTACACGGTTTTTGAACAAAACGTTTTCATATTTTCTGAGGTGGCACAAAAAATCAAAAATTTCTAATTTTCTAAAATGGGACGAAAGAAATGTTCAGAATCAATTTTTGTGTATGGGGATACGAAAAAAAACAAAAGAAGTTGGATTAGGATTGTTTTGAATTAATAAATATTTTTAGATCTTTGAGGATCTTTGTATGGTCTCAAGAAAACCTTTTAGATTTAAATTAGATGACGAAGCTTACACATCAAATCAGGGAAAAATTCATCACATATAGTACGACTTTCAACAAAAACTGTTGATATATTTGTGATCAGCGTCGAATGGGGTATTGTATTAAGTCTTAGGACAAAACAAATTGTTTGGTATCTTCGAAGTACAGGTATAATCAATCATTCTGCTTCAAAGTTTTAATGTCGTTTATATATTTAGTCACGATAAAATGTAGAATTCTTTAAAAATAAGAATATTATGTTCAAATGACATCTACTCATCATCATTTGAATTATATGCCTGAGCTTTTAATCTTGATTGCAAATGATCATAACCTGTCATAGGTTCATATATTTTTGATGAGTGATTTTCGAAGCATTTTTTACATGGTAAAATGTCAATAATTTTGCTTAAATCTGGTGCAGTAAATAGAATTGCAGAATAACGAGGTTCGGTTACCGACGAAACACGATGTAATGCAGATATCCAATAATTATTTGTCCAATGTTCAATGAATTCACCTCCTATTAACAGTAAACTATTTGGTTTGGGCTTAACTCTATACCATCGATTATTTACTTCAATGTCTAACCCTAAACAGATATAAATAATAATCATTAAGAAAATAATGCCAAATGATAAAAAAACAAACCTGAAACATAATCATTTTGTATCAATGAAAATCCAAGATAATCTTTATGTGCTCCCAAATTTAATTTTTATTCACTTGGCAAATATTTTGCTATTCTCAAAGTGAATCTTGATTTATCATGATTTGTATAATTTTTAGTAATCGAATTATCTTCATCGAGTTCTAATGCCATATCAACTATTTGATGTATTGAATTAATAAGACTTTTTGTTTCATTCATATATTTCGGTACTATGGATTGAAATTCTATGGGTAAATTATCATATTGACCTGATAATGAAAGAAAACATTCGACTGAATCGGATAATGTTGTTTTCTTTTCACCATTATAATTAGCTACAGATGTCGAACCACTCGGTTTATATCCGATAAATTCATCGACAAAATAATTCATTTTTGTTTTTAAATTTAATGAAAAAAATTCTTTAGCTTTATCAAATAATTCATTTGTCGATGATACTTGATGATTTATTAATCGAACAATACCATAATCATGAAAACTTTTATCAAATAATATTGCTATTTCATTTCGATCTTCATCAGTACCATTTATATATTTACTCATGTCAATCTCATCTATATTTAATGATAAACATATTTGTTGTGAACATTGATCCGCATATTCATCCACTGCATATGATATCGTTGTTAAATATAAAACTAATAGTTGTGTTATAATGTACTTCATGAATTTTTGCGAAGAAGAACTAGATCAACACTCTATTACAGAAGTGACCGACGTAATCTATTAACATTTGCTATATATTTTGTTGATAGTACTCTATTCTTTTAAACATTTTCTGTTTGTGTGTCATGATGTCTGATAACAAAGAAGAAAACAACTGGTCACTTGATATTCGAATATATAGTGGAATGTTAATATGTTATTCGCAAAAAAGAAAATATAAGATAGAAAACATTCGTGTCGTAACGGAAAGTTATGCAATATTTTTACTTTCTTCCTATATAAGGAAAATATCCTGTGGACGAAGCCCATTTATTTTATTTTCGTCCTTTTGATATCACTTACCGTACTTTTTATTTATCTGCCTTGGTATCGATTCATGACTGATGATCTTTATTTTGATATTGACAGATAAACTCTAATTGTTCTATCGAAAGGTGACGAACGATGTATTAGATCAGAATGAATTACTTAACCTGACATTGCCATGTGTTTTAACCGAAAAATTAGATGCAGTGGCGACGCGACCCTTCGTGTAAGGAGAGTGTACACCCCCTTCTGCTTTCAGAAATTTGCTCTCATTTCAGCCAAAAGTACGGGAAATTTCCCCCACTTTTGCGAAAAAATAGAGTGAGTTTACTCTGATTTTGGCCACCTCTTGCAGTTTTTGTGCAGATATTTGCCGTTTTCTCCAATTTCTGCCAAAAATGTCACAAAATCTGAAAACAAGATAGAACATCTCCTTCCCAGAGATGGGCAAGTCTAAGTCCAGACTTGAAGCAGTAGTTGACCGACTTTATGTACTCGTCATATACAATTATGAGATTTGTCCAGTTGCACAGTGGGCATTGAGGCGGAAATTTGAGCAAAATCGACAAGTGAGCTTTTTGGAATTCGAACAGTAGTAAATGTAGTCTTTGAAAAGCGCTATCGAATAGTATATAATGATCGACTAGTAATGAACTCCTTCGATGAGTAAGTTAACTTACGAACATTCACAAAAAACACCGTCAAATATGACACATCTGCAAAGATTCTTATTTCTATATACAGACGTGCAATATTACCCTATCCAAAGCACATATTCGGAATCAGCACAACCTATTGCATCTCCTGATAATAGAAGGTACTCCTTTTGCATCTTGTACGAAACGAAAAAAGGTCTAGTAGTCTAGATTACTACGGTCCGACATGAGACTACCTCAGTGCAGTGATAGCGCTAAAAAGCGCTAAGCCTGAACAGACATTCTAATTACATGAAAATGTTCCTCAGTCTATCGTGTATTTATGAGGATCTCGTCTTTTCTCGGCTTTTTTTCTAAGTCGAGTTATTGATTTTACGAAAACCCTATGGGTAATTCGCGTTTTCCTCCCCCATAAGAGCACTTTTTCCATAACATAAAGTCATATTCGGAATCAGCGTGAAAAATTGCATCGAATGATGTATAGTTTGTTAGTTTTATAAACAAAACATTTTTTGACAAAAATCCAGGGCAAGGGTCCCCCTAAGGAATTTTTTGTCGAAAAACATTTTTTTTCGAATTCGACGTTTTTACTTCTACTAATATCTGACGCATAGTAAGATCATATTATGCTAAAATAATCATTTTCTAACCCAAAAAAAACCAGATGTCCGCCTGCTCTATGGAAAAATGCCCAATGTTAGTTGGTTCTTAAGAAGACAAAAAAGTTAGTGTCGTGGCTCTGCTTTCTGCTCGACTGAACTAATCAGACAGTGCAGGCTAATGAATAACAATGGAGAAATATAACAGACATAATACACATTTAAATTACACGTCT